GCCAACAACCAGAAAGGCGAATTAGTCTCAGTGACACTTTAAACCCTAGAAGATGCTATCTTTCATTTTCCTGACTCTATCATAAGTGAAATAAAAATGATATATTTTAATTTGTTTCTGGCTTTTAATTCTCCTGGACACCCAAAAAACAAATTCACTGGCAGTAATGCAAGAATGTCCCATCCTTCTTGTGAAAGGAACAAGATTTATTCCTGTTTTTCTGATTCCCCCAGCAGTGAAAGGACTATGGACCTAGTTTTGGAAATGTGCAATACCAATTCTATCCACTGGTGCGGCATTTCAGGAAGACAGCTTGGAAAGCTGCATCCAAGTTCCTCTCTCTGCCTTGCCCTTACTCTGCTGTCTTCAGTACAGGGACTGCAAGTATGTTATCTTTTCAATCATTTCAGTATTTGGGATCTGTTAACCCATCGCATGTACTGTATCCATACTTCCTCTAGTAATTACCATTGAATGAAAACTTAGGCCTATATTTTTCTCTCAATAGAGCGTCTCCGGCTTAAGACTAACAGACACGTTTTTAAAGAGAACATATGAATATGATGACATCGCACAAGTCTGTGTGGTATCTTCGGCCACTAAAGTGGAAAGCTGAAGAAAATTTCCAATGTTATGCTTTTCATTGAGTTTCACAGAACTTTCTGTATTTTTTGTCACCTTTGTAAAATGATCAAGTCAACAGTAAAAAGTATGTTATTTAAATTTCTTTCCTGTAAAACAGTTAAAATATTAAATATTTGTTTTGAAAAAAACCATCTACTGATTGTATTTTGAGTTATATTTTAAAGAAACATTTGTACATTTTCTACACATATCCTATTTGTTTCATTCAGATGACCATTGGACTTCGTTCTTTAAAAGCTCTATATTTGAGGCCATTTGTCCCTAGCAAGTATCTAGACCAGGCATCAGCAAAATTTTTATGTAAAGGGCCAGATATTAAATATTTTAAGCTTTGCAGGCCATGTGATTTCTATTGAAGATACTCCACTCTTCTGTTGTGGTGCGAGAGCAGCCAGTTGGCCAAAAGAGCACACTGGGTTTTACAAATCAGGCAGCCAGCCTGCAGGCCATAGTTTACTGACCTTGGTCTAGGTACAACTGTTTCTTAAAACTTAAGAATTTTTATATGTTATTTAGTAATATTTCAGTTAAGTCCAGATTTTTCCTAGCTCCTCAGTTAACAGAAAAGTTGTTTAAAACAACTGAGATGGTCCTCGAATAACCTTGTATTTACTAACAGAGTATGAATTCTAGTTGTTTTCAAAATTAGTGTATTGGTGAGTATCTGTGTTAGTGTATACATATAAACCCGCACATGTCTAAGTTTCAGTTACCAACAGCAGATCAGAATTGGTTTTAATTCTTAGATTATTGTTTACTCTCTTAACTTTGAACTAAGAAGCTGACTCTTTTCTAAGTCCCAAAATCCTGTTTTTTTTCCCCATTAAAAAAAGCCACTTATTTTTATAGGCATATTTAAAGAATTTCCAGCTTCTGATATTTGACTTTGAATTCTAAATCATGTATTAATATTATAAAACTTTCTACCTCTGCATATAATCACACTAATTTTACTAATTTTACTTATACCTTGAATAAAATAGTGAAAAAGATTGAAAACAACTTTGCAACATGAGTATGTTTTCAATATTTTGTCAGGAAAATAAAAGGTTATGCAGTTAAATAAACACTTATTTTGGTAAGTGGAAATGTAAAGATGTCCTATATAATAAAAGCCTAATATGCTAAGTGTCCAGTTGTCTGTTCAACCAACCAAAGCTAATGCTAATGATCTGCTAAGGCCGCTCAACCACTATGATGTGCACTGACCACCAGTGGGCACTCGACTGGTCGACGAGTTGCTATCACGTGTACTGACCACCAGGGGGCAGACACTCTGACTGGTAGGTTAGCTTGCTGCTGGGGTCTGGCCGATCGGGACTGAGTGAGATGGGCTGGACACACCCCAGCGCCCTCCTGAGCTGGCCAACCTCCCGCGTCCCTCCCCCGCCCTGATCGTGCACCGGTGGGGTCCCTAAGCCTGGCCTGCACCCTCTTGCAATCCGGGATCCCTCTGGGATGTCAGAGAGCCGGTTTTGGCCCGATCCCACAGGCCAGGCGAGGGACCCCACTGGTGCACAAATTCGTGCTCTAGTGTATGTGTATATATATAATTGCTTAAATGTAAGAGTACATTAAGTCAAATACAATAATTGTTTTTTCTTAAATGCATAATTATTTATTGCCATGACAAATTGGTCCAAAATGAAGGCTATATTTGAAGTGAGATTTGCCCCTTAAATTGGAGTAATAAGTGAAATGTGTGTGCAAGATAAAGTGTAAACAGTGTAAAATATCTCTCTCTTCCAAATGAATAAGATTGATTAAATGATAAATAAGACTTTATAGCCACTGCACTGGGTACATCCATGGTTTTTCAAGCATCTTCTCATGATCAAACCTTCAGTTTCACTCTGTTTCAAATTTAAAAAGTAGCATATAATGGGTCACTTGGAATCTGCTATATAATTGGATTTGATTACAAAGTCTCTTTTTACAAACAATAACCTAGACACATATTGTTCATTCTTTAAATAAAAGATAATCTTATTTTAGAAAGGATCTGTTTAAACCACATTATAAAAATTAGATAAACAATTTGTTACATTAAATGAAAGTCATTTGCATAAAAAAGATACTTTACGTTTTACATAGCATCATAGCTACAGCTACTACAATGAAATGTGGTTAATGTAAGCAGTTATTCCTAAGTAGATTGTATATAAATATTTACCTTAATGCCCTGTTTCAGATAAGCAAGAATAAAATATTTGGGGCATTTCTTACAATCTTATGAGTAGCTAGCACAATCCAACTACACAAAACTTTCTTGAAATGCAGTGATTCCAAAATGAGGAAGATACTTGAGCAAAAATGGCTTGAATCAGATGGAAATCCAGGTGAGGGACCTGCTATCATTTAGACTGAATTTGGTATGGGTAGTATATTAGCAACGAAACAATCTAGGAGGTAAAAAGGAATAAATACACCAATTCCTATTAATTATTGTAAATAAGTAATCTTCACAGCAGATATTAGCAAATTAAGACATTGATGTAAAGGGTTCTGCTTATAATGTCTAATATTGGTATCAGATTAATAGGTATGTAAAATGAGTTGTGAGGTACTTTCTCCTTTTCTATGTTCTAGAAGATTGTGTAGCTTGATATTATTTCTCCCTTAACTTTTTGATAGAATTCCCCATTGAAATAAATTGTTTGGGACTGGAGCTTTCTTTTCTGGAAAATATATGTTTCTTCAGTGAGCTTTAGCTATCTTACAAAAAAAATTTTTTTAAGTTAATATTGTTGAATATATAGACCTAAAGTTGGTTGTAGTATTTTCTAATGATCCTGTGGTATTTTCTAATGTCTGCATTGATATCCCCTCCTTCACCTCTGACATTATTGATTTGTATGTTCTCTATTTCCCTAGTCAGTGAGCTAGAGGCTTACTAGTTTATCAATCTGAAAGCATTTTTTTAATCCTCACCCAAGGAGCGAGGATATTTTTCCATTGATTTTTTTTAGCGAGAGTGGAAGGAGAAGAGAGAGAAACATCGATGTGAGAGAGACACATCAATTGGTTGCCTGCCACTTGCTTCCTGACGGCGGGGGTGGGGGGGGGGTGGGGGGGGGTCGAACCCAGGTACGTGCCCTTTACCAGGAATCAAACCCAGGACCCTCTGGTGCAGCGGTCGTCAACCGGTGGTCCGCGGACCACTGGTGGTCTGTGAGGTCCGAAAGGTTGGCAACTGCTGCTCTGGTGCACAGGCTGGCACTCTAACCACTGAATGCAGCCAGGGCTGAAAGCATTTTTAATGCACTCAAGATAGCTATGCTAGAAACTTTTTCTTACTCAACACTGGATAACTGACTGATTTTTAATTAAGGATCAGCTTTGCTTTCTTTTCATCAATGTCATCATATTCATATAATTAGTCCTTCATTCTGTATAATCCTTGGACACTAGGAGCTGAATTTATGAAAAATTATATTGGTTTAGATGGAATAGAGGAGATTTAATTCAGAGAGCCTAAGACTTAAGTCCTTCTCTTCTCTGGACAGAACTGTAGGTTCATTTAAGTCTTCATTGTGGCCTAAGCCCAGAGTGGGGTTTAGGTATTTGCTGGTCAAATTGAGGAGAAATCTCTAACCTCGTACTGTTTAAAATAGTGCTTCCTGGGCCTTTTTACAGGACCTATTAAATAAAAATTGAAAGTGTGGTCCTGAATCTGCATTTTCAGCAAATAAACCAGGTGACTCTTACAGTGAAACTATAGAACCACTAGTCTAATCTCACAAAGGGAAAGAGAGAAAAAGGTTTTTAAACTTTATTCTCTTTTGAGGAGAATAGTTCTAATAATGCCCTGACTATTATCAGTATTACTAATTTAACTTTTACAGTTTTTTCTCACAACACTTGCAACATCATGTGTCTGCCCAACTTTACCTATTTCATAATTAACAAACAAAAGAAATTCCAGTTAGAACAGCCTCCTCCATCACTATAGTTAGAGCCGTGCCATTAATACCGAACAATGCCACTTCTCTCCACTAATATGTATTCTAATTTAAATGTAATATTTTAAATCCCCTATTATGTTTAAGTTGCATCAAATTAAGTTAAGCATAAAAGCAACATGCCAAACCAAATCATAGCAGAGGATTACACGAACAAGCACTGTTAATGACAGATGCTTTCTGTATTCTATCAAATAATTACTGAGGTGTTTTTAAAAAAAAAAAAAAAAAAACAGACATAATTAAATGCCACTTAGAAAATCCTTAACTTAAGAGCCAAGCCATTGGCTTATTTTAATGTAGGTATATTTGAGAGTTTTCATGGTAAGGTCACCACTGGGGAAGTTGTGCTAGTTAAACTGAATAGTTATACAACTGGCCTAACCAGTACCATTAAGGATTTCTAAATGTATTTTATTATGTACATAGTATAATTAGCCATGCTAATGTTATAAATACCAAACTACAGGCAAGATTAATTAAAAACTAGGCAAAAACCTGAGCATCCTACCTACCTTCACTTTCTATACATTCACAGCATCTATTCTTTCTTTTCAAACAACCCTTCCACCAAATTCTGCTTTCTACCAGCTCTGATGCCTCCCTGCCACCCATTAAAATGAGCAGCATTAAAGACAGTGCTGGCTCCTGTGACATATATTCATCACTGATGGCATTCTCAAGGCTAAACCTAGATATCAAAGTTCTCTCCAGGCGTGCTGCTCATTGGCAAGCACGTTGCTCTTAACCCAGCACGTGAAACCTTTCCTCTTGGTCATCTCCCTCTCAGAAAGTTTGCTGAAGGGAATTGGGAGCCAGAGCGCTCACCAATAAACAGCCTTACTGCTATTAAGTCTAGCATACAGATATGACGATGAAGATGTGAAAATGAAACCCTGTTGAGTGACCATTCATTTACAAAGGAGTCACATTACGGTGAAGTCTGTTTGTGATAAACCTATTGTCTACACGGATGTATTCTGTAGGTTTTTTGTTTTTGTTTTTTGGCCACTATCTACAGCAAACACTTCAGAGCAGTAACCGTTTCCAGTCTAGAATCCCTAATCTAGAGTCAGGAGTGGTCTTCCGTGCTGCTGCTGAATGACCTGCTCCGGATGTGATTTCTCAGTTGCTCTATGAGTTCAGGATTCTGCTGCTGTATCTGCTGAGCAAACTGCTGTCCCCTGGAAGTGAAAGGGCAAAGTGGTATGAATAAGGGAATTCCCAGTCACACAATACCCATAAAAATGGACTGCAAAGGATGTGGGTGCTACTCAAAGGGAAGTTCTAGAAAGACAAGTTTTAGAATCACAACTGTAGTATCTGCAAGTTTACCATTGCCTCCATATAGCATTATTAAAAGGCATTGTTCTTTATAAGAGGCAAAACACCCAAGCCAAAAAGGTCCTAGATTGGGGGAATCCACCCCCCTCTAGTGCCTAACCACGAATAAACAAAGGGTCCAAAAGTATGTGCTTTTATTGTGTGTGCTCAAACATATTACAAGGTATTTGCTCTTGTAGTCAAGTTTTAATAGTCTTCCGTATGACAGGATGGTACACCCATGTGGGGATGTGTATAGAAGTCACTGAATAGAACTAATTTTTAAAAAGTTAGAGAAATTTAATACGATTCCTGATGTGTGACCCGCAATTGGGAGCGTTAGACATTGCTCTAATCATGCCACTTAAAGATCATTCTGAAAATGCAATGTTGCAAATGGGGTCACATGGCCATGACTACAAAACAGTAATCAATACTTGTGGCTTCGGGTAAAATCTGCAGTGACAGCATCACACAGATTCAAGGAGCAGACTATTTTAAGCACTTGGTGGAAGTGAAGAAATGAGGTGATGCAAGAAGTTCCTCTAGTGATGACATGCACTGAAGAGTTTGGATAAAATTCTGTCCTAGATTGTCTGAACATTGGTATATATGTAAAATTTGATTTTTAAATATATATGTTTACCTAAGTCAATGCAGATTTTGAGTAGCTACTTGACTTCAATCTCCATCCTTGAGTAGCTATTCAAATCTGCTGAAAAACAGTTTTCTTGAGTGGATTCCTGCCCTTCAGTCTGAAAATCCCAACTTATGAACTACTTTTAAATTTAATCTAGTGAGGCCACTGATACTAACAGTAAATGATAAAAATTCAAAAGGAAAGCCTCTGCCTCCACCAGCTTCTCAGTGGTTAGAGCATCAGCCCAAGGACCAAAGGGTTGTGGGTTTGATCCCCAGTCAAGGACACATAAGTCTGTTACAGGCTTGATTCCCGGCCCCGGTCAGGCTGCATGCGGAAGGCATCTAGTCAACATTGGTGTTTCTCTCTCTCCCTCCCTCCCTCCCTTCCACTCTCTCTAAAAATCAATGGAAAAACATCTTAGGGAGAGGATTGGAAAAAAAAGTCCTGATCCCCTCACTTTAGAGACAAACTATAAAACATAAAGTACTTTTAAAAACTTTCTATTTTAACTACAGAAAAACTGTAAGGCAAACACTTTTTTACTATTTCTATTTCAAGTAACACTTACGCTTGGATGAGGCTAGACAGGTCAGTTAGGCCCCCAACTCCAGCAGCAGGTCCCCCAATGGCATTTGTCATCATTCCTGACATTCTAGAGTAGGCAAGAGGTAAATCACTGGATTGGCATATAGTCTTAACAAGGAGGATACTGGCCAAGGAAAAGAATTAAATATACCCACATCATGTAAAGCATTAGGCTAAATGTGTGTGACTTTAAGTGCCAATTACTGGCAGTCTAGGTAGTTTTTTTTTCATTTGGGAGCTGATGTGCTCAAATTAGGAGCTTGCAATTAGAAGGGGGAAATGTAGTATGCTCGTTCTATATACTTACAGCTGTTGAACTTGAGGATTCTGCATTAAACTTGCTGCCTGAAATTCAAAAATGGCATCTCCCATTAAAGACAGTTAATATTTAGGGATCTTTAACAAAGATTTCTTTTCAAAAAAACAGAAAAATGAAAGCTAAACCATGTGTGTACTAACATTCTGTAGAGTTTTAGTGTGCTATATAAAGTGAATGGGAATATAAAAAAGGTACTAGAAAATGATGGCATTTAAAATACTTTGCAAGGGTAGAGAGACTACAAACAAGATAAACTACAGATATTAACTTATTACTACTGATCAGATCAATAAAGCCAAATGGAGAAATAGGAACTTGAAAAGTATAAAGCATCTCCTACACTGGAGAGGCTTCACTTCAAAAGAGTACTGTAAGACATGTGACCTGATTCCATGGGCTTAATAGCTTCCATTCTTGCCATGCTAAGGGGGAGGGGAGTTGTATTTATACACACATATACATTAAAACTACATTTTGAAAGCATAAACAATTTTTTTGCCTCAAATTTTTAGTCAACAATATTCATGTAAATTTTTCATTGAGCCTCAATCTGTGTAGAACAGTGATGGCGAACTTTTTGAGCTCGGCATGTCAGCATTTTGAAAAATCCTAACTTAACTCTGGTGCTGTGTCACATAGAAATTTTTTGATATTTGCAACCATAGTAAAACAAAGACTTATATTTTTTATATTTATTTTATATATTTAAATGCCATTTAACAAAGAAAAATCAACCAAAAAATGAATTCGCATGTCACCTCTGACACGCGTGTCATAGGTTCGCCATCACTGGTGTAGACAGTAGTAACTCCAATAGCTGTCCCCCCAAATCCTCTTTTAATCTCTATCAACCTGACCCTTTTTAAGAATGTCACACAAAGTGTTTTTAAGCTCCACCTTCTGCTCCTCCTGTATGATAGTCTCACACCTCACTTCAAACATCTTGAGGGATAAGCTGAATTGGAAACTGAAATCCATTTTCACATCCTATTATAATAGCATAACCTGAGGCCTAGATATGAGTAACAATGCTCAAAAATGTCACAAAACCTATAAAGAGACATACATTTACTAGTTAGGTAGCAAGACCATCTTAAATTTGGCCTCAATCCTGAGACTCAAGAGTTATTGAATTACTTGCAAGTCACTTCAACAGTATTTTTCTGGTAATAAAAGCAAGTGGTGGCTTTCCCAACGCCTCATTTAGGATCAGTGATTAAAAGACAACTACTGTCTACAAAGACTTCAACTAACAATTTTAAACTACCAATTGCTACAAACCTACCAATTGTTCAAAAAGACTTTTTTATCTCACTAGGAATGCGCCATCTGTATTTCAATTCAGCTGAAGATGTAGTGGATGCAAGACATTTTTTGAAGGAAACAAAGAAGTATTACTGCCTTAAAGGGGCATAGCATCTGGTAGTCTAGTTCTCAGCCAGAAGTATACAGTCACCCAAGGAGCTTTATATACCCAGGTAACATCCTTGATGCACTAAACCAGAGTTTATATATACCAGAGCATGTGTGTTTTCAAAAAGATCTATAAGTAATATTGTTGGTTTGAAGAATGGAGTTTATATATGAACTAGAAGCCCAGTGCATGAAATTCATGCATGGGGAGGGACGGGGGTCCCTCAGCCTGGCCTGCACCCTCTCGCAATCTAGGACTGCTGGCTCCTAACTGCTCGCCTGCCTGCCTGCCTGATCGCCCCTAACCGCCTCTACCTCAGCCCCGGCTGCTGGGGCTTTGTCCGGAAGGACGTCCACAAGGTTGTTCGGCTGTCTGGTCTAATTAGCATATTACGCTTTTATTATTATAGGTTATACTAAAAAGTCAAATTAAAATAGAAAGGAAGCAGACAATGCTGAAAGGAGAGCATAGGGAACCACAATAACCAAATCCTCAGAACTCAGTTACTAGATATCTTCCTAGGGCCATTTTCTTATAAGAGTGGTCTTCACCCTTTTGTAAATTTGCAGATCCATGTGCCAATCTAATGAAAAATATGGTTCTCTCCCTAAAAAAATGCACATAGCCACTTGTACACAAGTTTTCATATACAATTTCAGGGAATCCATTGGTTTCCTGAAGTCTATCCATGGCTTTCTCACAAACAGATACACAGGCAGGTTAAAAATCTCAGCCATAGCATTACATCACCATCCTATTACCACCACCACCTCCGCCGCTACAAAAGCTCCCTTATTTGTTTCTAAAATGTGTTAAAACTATATTGCTTCGAGAGAAACCAAGATGGCGGCATAGGTAAACACCGGAGTTTGCTGCCTCGAACAACCACTTCAAAAATACAACTAAAAGACGGAACGGACATCACCCAGAACCACAGGAAGGCTGGCTGAGGAGAGACTCTTCAACTAGAAGGAAAAACAACAGCATTACGAGGCTTTGAGGAGGCGCAGTGTGGAAAATTTAAAGGTACGGTGGTGCGGCGGTGCGCGCGCAAAGCGGGCTGGTGGCTGAGGGCGCGGTTGTCGTTTTCAATCAGGAGTGAGTCTCAGACTCTGGGCTACAGATCCGGGCGAGTCTCTAGGGACCCAGACTCAAACGGGAGAAGCGGTACTGTCCGAGGTTTGCAGCCGTTGTGGGGACAGAGAGGCAGAGCCCCTGGGGACGGACTGAGAGCAGCCATAGCTGCTCCCTCCCCCCGCCCTGTTGAGCCCGCCCCGCCCAAACCCTGCGCACAGCCATTTGCCGATCGCCTCAGGCAAAGGCTGGACTAGCGCCTCCCCAGAGGACTGAAGTTTTCCACACAGCTGATTCCTAAGCCAGTCGGCCTGGTGGTCAAATCCCTCTAGTGTTAACTACAACAATTAAGGCTTGGCTAGAACAAGACTGCACACAAAGACCACAAGGGGGTGCACCAAGAAAGCATAAAAGATGCGGAGACAAAAAAACATGACAGAAATGGAGGATATGGAGCTAAGAATCGCAATTTTGAGGGCTTGCTATAAACTTGAGCAGAGCCTCACGAAAACTAATGAGACCCTCGATGCTACGATAAAGAAATTAGAAAGTAAGCATACACGGACTGAAATAAAGAATATTATACCCAATAGCAGACCAGAGGAGCACAAGAATCAAACCAAAGAAGCAAAAAACACCCAACTGGAAAAGCAAAATGAAAAAAGAATCCGAAAGTGTGAAGATAGTGTAAGGAGCCTCTGGGACAGCTACAAGCGTACCAACATCAGAATAATAGGAGTGCCAGAAGATGAGAGACAGCAAGATATTGAAAACCTATTTGAAGAAATAATGGCAGAGAACTTCCCCCACCTGGTGAAAGAAATGGACTTACAGGTCCAAGAAGCGCAGAGAACCCCAAACAAAAGGAATCCAAAGAGGACCATACCAAGACATATCATAATTAAAATGCCAAGAGCAAAAGACAAAGAGAGAATCTTAAAAGCAGCAAGAGAAAGAGACTCAATTACCTACAAGGGAGTACCCATACGACTGTCAGCTGATTTCTCAACAGAAACTTTGCAGGCCAGAAGGGAATGGCAAGAAATATTCAAAGTGCTGAATACCAAGAACCTACAACCAAGATTACTTTATCCAGCAAAGCTATCATTCAGAATTGAAGGTCAGATAAAGAGCTTCACAGACAAGGAAAAGCTAAAGGAGTTCATCACCACTAAACCAGTATTATACGAAATACTGAAAGGTATCCTTTAAGAAGAGGAAGAAGAAAAAGGTAAAGATACAAATTGTGAACTACAAACATGCATCTATCAACAAGTGAATCTAAGAATCAAGTGAATAAATAATCTGATGTACAGAATGAACTGGTGATTATAATGAATCAGGGACATAGAAAGGGAATGGACTGACTATTCTTGGGGGGGAAAGGGGAATGGGAGATTCGGGAAGAGACTGGACAAAAATCGTGCACCTATGGATGAGGACAGTGGGTGGGGAGTGAGGGCGGAGGGTGGGGCGGGAACTGGAAGGAGGGGAGTTATGGGGGGGGGGGGGAAGAGGAACAAATGTAATCTGAACAATAAAAATTTAATAAAATAAAAAAAAAAAACTATATTGCTTCATGAAAAACAGAGCCAGCAAAGCAGAAAAGGAAATATACTTACCATACTAATGAAGGCTGGATTATTTATTAAGCTAGTCATGTCAAAGCTCAATCCAGTTCCTGTCTGTAAAAGAATTATATATGAGGATTATTCTAACCACTACAATCTGATTACAATAAATTGTGAATGACAGAAAATATTTCACTCATTCAGCATTAATAACTTACAGGACTGGATACCTCTCTTAACTTCTGTTCTGCTATTTTCAGATTTGACTTATAGGAATCATTTTCAGGGTCAAGATCTAATGCCTTTTGATAACTTGTAACTGCTTCTTCAAATTTATTCATGGCAGTGAGGGCCAGCCTGAAAAGAATAAAGTTATGGGTATAAAATATATGGTTAAAGAATATCAAGATATCACAAATGTAGTCAAACAGCTGTCTTGGTATTCAACTAGAATCCAAATTACACTTAATTTATTCATTATACTATGGTTCACAGGAGTATCATTAAAATTCCTTCTATTTCCAAGATTCTGTAAGTCTGGATTCTCCATTCTGCTTGCTGACAATCTTGGCTAGCTTATATTAACCATGAACTTAATGCTTAGGAATGAACCTTACCTACCCCCTTCCATATGTGAAATAACTTGCTTTATGAATGATTAAACTCCACATAGATGCGAGCTAACTAACCGTCCTGTGGTCATGTAACTCCATGGTGTTAAACTCATTTTAAGGACTCTGAACTAGATTTGTGCTTCAGAATGTCTCTTCCTATGTTCTAGCAGAGACAGAGTCACAATAAATATCAATTCACCTTAAAAAATAAAAATAGGCTGTGGGGCACTCCTGAACAAGACATGTTAGTTGTTAAATAGATAAAATTAGCATCCTTTACAACTTAAGACATTATAACCCCAGTCACAGATTTAGTTATTTAATTTTTGTTTTCCTCCACCTAGTTAGAATGTATTTATTGGAAAACTACTTCAGAACTAAACAATAATGGTATAAATGGAGATATAGTATTGAGGTTTTTGTTTTTAACAAACTAAGTCAGCTGGCTTACCTCACAGACTTCCAACCTGGATAAAATACTGTGCCTAACAACAGAAAAATTCTCAGACCCTAATTAGTTTTCTACCAGTCAACTTGAAAGATGCTTCATCAAAGTCCTCAGTTAATCAATAGTCAATAAATATTTACTGAAGCCCTACTGTGCACCAGACACTATTTTATAATCCACAATGAAAGAGGTAAAGTTCTTGAATTTAAGAAAATGTCATTCTACCTAGGGAAAGCAAACAGTAAATATGCAAAGAAAAAAGAGTAATATTAAGAAAATGAATAGGGCAGCTGCTCAAAGGCAGCCACACTAAGAAGACCTGAATGATGAGAAGAAAGCAGGCATATGAAGATCAGGGAGTAGCATGCTAAATAGAAACAGCAGTAGACACAAAGGCCTGGGAACCAAGCCAGCGAGTGAGGTATGCTCCAGGAACAGGACAAAGGCTGATGAGGAAAGAGCACAGAAAGCAGTGTGGAAAGAGGTGATGTCAGGGAGTAATCAGGTGCCAGATAATATAGAACTAGGGTTTGGAGTCTGGATTTTATTCTCGTTGCAGTGGAGCGACATGATCTGATTTATGCTTTGGAAAGCTCTCTCTGGCTTTTTTGCAGAGGTTCAACACGGGGTGTTAGTTGGGGGGATGGGGGACTAGAGAAACCAGTTAGGAAGCTGCTGTGGTAGCCCAGGTAAGAGATGTCAATTTGGACTAGTGTTATAAACAAGGTAGCAATCAATGCTTCAATTTAAGATATGTGTATGTGGAAACTAGAATTAACAGGACTTGCTGATAGATGTGTCAAGTATAATAAGAATAAAGGATGACCCCTAGGCTTGACCCAAGCACTGGTAGGTGAATGATGGTAACATTTCCTGAAATGGGAAAGACTAAAGAAGGGAATAAGAGTCCTGTTTGGGGCATGTTAAATTTAAAATGCCTATCTATAATAATAAAAGCATAATATGCTAATTAGACCGGACAGCCAAATGACCTTCTGGATGTCATTCCAGACGTCTTTTGGCAGGGGCTGAGGCAGAGGCAGTTAGGGATGATCAGGCAGGCAGGCGAGTGGTTAGGGGTGATGAGGCAGGCAGGCAGAGGCAGTTAGGGGCAATCAGGCAGGCAGGCAGACAGGCGAGCGGTTACGGGGATTAGGCAGGCAGGTGAGCGGTTAGGGGTGATCAGGCAGGCAGGTGAGTGGTTAGGGGTGATCAGGCAGGCAGGCGAGCGGTTACAGGGATTAGGCAGGCAGGTGAGTGGTTAGGGGGGATCAGGCAGGCAGGTGAGCGGTTAGGGGCGATCAGGCAGGCGAGGGGTTAGGAGCCAGCAGTCCCAGATTGCAAAAGGGATGTCTGACTGCTGGTTATCCCCTGAGGGGTCCTGGATTGCAAAAGGGTGCAGGCCAGGCTGAGGGAGTCCCCTCTCCCCGTGCACGAATTTCATGCACCAGCCCTCTAGTTAAACATATAAACGGATGAAAAGAAGTTAATATGATATGGAATTCAGACATATACTTAAAATATACAGTAAATTAAGAGATCCATCAACATATGGAGTTGATTCTCATTATTCAGAGTAGTTATGCTATATAAAGTCCCCACAAACACTGATTTAAGAAATACTAAACAATCATTCCTAGGGGAAATACAGGGTTAAGTTCCTGTGAGGTTTTGGTCACAACATTCTCATCAAATGATCGATACATGATCTTCTTTTATATGTGATTCTGCTTAAAGAAACCTTATTTAGTATATATTATTAATTCATTAGTATCATACTGACAGCCAACAGCACTAACTCATGCCTGAACAAAACTTATCTAGCATGTATGTTTTCTGAAAGGCACATTACAGCCTTCTTGCACTTAGGAACCCTTTTCAACACTTCAGTCTATGTTTGGGTCCATTGTAAACAGGGAAATCAACAACAAAAGACACAAAAATGCAAAAAATATAGCATTAAATAAACTGCAAAAAGGACACTTGTTTACAGCATGAGAGTTGAAACAAAAAGGCAGAGTATGGCCTTATGCACCTCAGCTGAGACCTTGCACATCAGGTGACTCAAATTTTTCACCAAACTGAATGAACACAAAAGCACAGTGACTTGATTTTGGGGTTATCAAAATTTTTTTAGCAAGTAGGTGAATTCATAAATACAGAACCCATGAATAATTAATATAGACTTTAAGTGGAATTTAAAGGCATCAGGATGAAAACAGAAGAGAGAATAGACAGACAACAGCCTCAGAGGAGAGGACAGAGCTCTGAAGTGCACCATTAGAGTTGGTAGAAAAGGAAGATGCAGTAAGGGAGACTGGGAAAGAACAGTAAAGTAGAAGGAAAACCAAGATGTGTGGCGTCACAGAAACCTAGAGTATGAAGTGTTTCAAAATAAGTTAATCATGCAATATACTAAAAGGTGGATAGGTGAGGATACAGAATTGCCCTTTGGCCTTAGCACAATATGAACAATTGGTCACCTTGAATAGAGCTCTCAGTTGAGTGATATAGACAAATGCCCTATCAGAATGAGCTGAAGAGAGAATGAGAGATGAGGAAGATGAGATAGGAAGTGCAGACTGCTATCAGGGGCTTTGTAGAGAAAGGAACTGACAAATGACGTAGCTGTGTGCAAGGATGGTTCCAATGGTTCCAATGGATGATTCCCTGACGATTTCACATGCAGTCATTATCGCTGTTACAGACAGGAAAACTGGTGTTGCCAAAGATAAAGCAGATGATTACAAATGTAAAGCCCTAGAGAAGGTACAAAGCGATGAGATCTAAAGCATGCATGAAGGCACCAGTCTTAGATAAGAACCCTTCCATTTTAACAGGAGAAAAGGCAGTCTGTGTAAATACAAATGCAAGTAGATCAGTGGATTTGGCAGCAGGAAGATGAGCTATTTTTCTTCTAAATGCACCCATTTTCTCAATGAAGTATAAAGTAATATCATCAGCTAAGAGTACCATGGAGGATGGAGAGAAAATTTGAAGAGAGAAGAGTAGGTGTGAAGCACTCAACTCAGAGTGGTAAGGTGAGCTTAGAAGGAAATATCTATTAGGACTGTCCGCCCCAAAATACTAGGTGCTCATGAGATCTGTGTCTTCAACATGAAGTGAGTCTACTCATTATGGTTATATGATATTCTCCACCAACCAACCATTCTTCATATATCTTCAATCACCTCTCGCCCAAGTCACAGAAACTGCAGTCATTTCCTCACTCAGTGTTATATTTATCTTCTTGTAAGTTGAGAAGATGCAATATTAAGCAGGAAATTCAAAATCAAGCCAGTAAGAACAGCATATCTGATACAACTTGGTGCTACTTTGAACATTCTCCCAGAACTTACCCCATTCTCCCATAGGCCTTGCTGTACTTTGAATCAATTGCTATTGCCTTTTCACAATCCTTTATTGCATCTGTGTAGTGACCTAATTTACTCTGAGCAGCAGCCCTAAGGGAAAAAGAAGAGAGTTTTTTGTTATAAGCATCCTTCAAGATACTAATTTAGATTTTCAGATTCTAATACAACAACATTTTCCTTGTCCCAATTTGTATATCACTCCCAGGAAACATCTAAATCAAACTGTCTTAAGAAAATTCCATAATCAAATGAAAAAACACACAGAAACAAAATTCAGAGAAATTATGAAAGTTGCCTTTCACTGTTCGTTTTGCTATAGGAAAGACAAAATATGCAAGCCATACAACTGATCTATCTACTTATTGCCTTTTTGATTTGCCCAAACAGAAAACTGAGAATGCTATTATCTCTATTGAGGGCTTACTAAAGCACGGACACTTTTCTAGGCATAATAGATAGAGCAGTAATTAAAATAATATTCCTGCCCTCAATCATGCTTAGATCCCTGGGTTGAGTCCAATTCCCTGTCAACCTTTCTTCTTACAGTATGCTTGAGACCCTTACTTCTCAAACTAAGATTATAAAATTGTGGGGGAGGGAATAAACAGTCTCCTCAGCTTCAGTTAAAAAAAAATTACGTGTGAAAATACAGATTTCAACAAACCTGTTTTGTTAGGTAATATGGAAAAGAGGTATAGCTATTTGACTGAATACTCGATGCAAACTAATAGTGTGACAAGGATGACCATTAAAAGACGAGATATAAAGTGTATCACTTTCAAATAATTAGAAAGAAAACGAAGTAAAAATAACTCAATCAACACAATAAAAGACACACACACACATACACACACACACATACACACACACATACACACACACACACACACACACACACAAAAGGGGGAGGGAGGAAAAGAAGCCAAAAAATAACATAGCAAAAAAACAATTCAAATACATAAGTAATCACAAAGTTGCCTAGGTGAAAATAGGATTCTCAAATTGTATACTTAAGATATCACTTAAAACATAATCAGCCCAGCCAGCATGGTTCAGTGGTTGAACATCAACCTATGAACCAAGAGGTCAGTTTGATTCCTGGTCAGGGCACATGCCTGGGTTTCGGGCTCAATCCCCAGTGTGGGGCATGAGGGGGCAGCCAATCAATGATTCTCTCTCATCAGTGATGTTCCTATCTCTCTCTGCCTTTCCCTTCCTCTCTGAAATCAATAAAAAAATATTTTTAAAAAAACACATAATCACACATAAGTTGAAGTTTAAAGAAGGTAGAAAAAGAAAATCAGGCAAACTGAAAACCTAGGAAAAGAAAACTGGTATAGAAACAATACCAGACATAAGGCAAAGAGCATTATTAAGGATAGAGTCATTATTTATTGATCATCCTTTTTTGTTTAATTTTAAGGGAAACATTTACATGGCTCAGAAGTCAAACCTCTAGAGTCTTTCATCCTATAGAGGACTGGTGGGAACATGGTAGATGGGATAGAAATGGGAATGAGACATGAGAAAGGATGAAAAAGAAACCTTCATACTGAATAAAACAGAAACAAATTATTCTAACTGGATATTTAGAAAAAGAATTCAAGTAACGTTCAAGCATATATCCTTTAGTGAGATATATTCTAAGGACAAAAAAATTTCAAAGAAATTCTGAACTTTACTTAGACTTACTAGTGTTGTAGTATTGGTGTAATACCAACTGAAGGATAGAGCTGATGAGTAAAGATACTGATGAGTTGGAAAACAGGGTTTTTGTTCCGGGAGAAGAGAGATACAAATGTAAAATGGGAGAAGCAAGGGAGATCTCTATGACACTGAAATGTAAATTGAAGTTATCTGTGTAAATTGATGACTTAAAAAAAAACCTTCATATTTCCTAGCTCTGTCCACTGAAAGGACCTAGAAGCAATAACATTTCAGTAGCAATGGTCACCTCTTACAACCAGATCTTGGTTTCTAAACACCATTCTCTGTTAAAAGGAGCAGGGGCTACTTGTAGAAATAGCTGAGCTCACATCTAGGGCAGTTTAAAGGAACTCCCACTAGCCAAATATGGGAGAAAATAACAATTACGATGATTTATTATAACACACCAATTAGTGAATTTTTAAAAATTCACAAGTCTATAATTATGCTCAGAAAGTTAGGGGAGGGGAATGAGAAAGAAAGTGGAAAGAGGAGAAAGGTTAAGAAAGCTCTTCTTTATAGACATATATGAGAAAATAGTATATATACACACACATATATAAAACATGCTGCCATGTGACTGCTTCACATTAGAAGTCTTCAAGTTGAGGCAATCTCCCTTCTAAAATTCACTGAATCGCCGAAACCGGTTTGGCTCAGTGGATAGAGCGTCGGCCTGCGGACTGAAAGGTCCCCGGTTCGATTCCGGTCAAGGGCATGTACCTGGGTTGCGGGCACATCCCCAGTAGGAGATGTGCAGGAGGCAGCTGATCGATGTTTCTCTCTCATCGATGTTTCTAACTCTCTATCTCTCTCTCCCTTTCTCTCTGTAAAAAATCAATAAAATATATTTAAAAAAAAAAAATAAAAAAAAATAAAATTCACTGAATCAATTCAACTCAAACTTTTGTTGAACATCTATAACATGTTAAACCCTGAACTCAAAACCAGGCAGATATACAGAAATGGAGAAAATATATCTCTGTCTTCCAATCTTTCCCTGTTTAATAGAGAAATAGACATGTAAATAAATAAATAGTATGAGGAATACAATGGAAGTATCAAAGGAAAAGACAACACGGAAAGGTGTGGTTTACCCTACGCAGAGCTGTCTACTAGAACTCCCATGATAGCAAAGTTCTTTGTCTGTGCTAGACAGTACAGTAACGCCTAGCCACATGTGACTAAAGAGTACTTAAGATAAGCTAGTGCAATTTTATTTTATTAATTACTTTGTTATTTTATTAATTTTAATTAATTTACATTTTGAACAGCTGCACGTGGCTAGGAGCTACCATATTGGACAGCACCACTCCATTGGATGTGGCAGGAAAGGGCGTAGGGGCATGGTCAGGAGGTTGCGGACAGAAGAAATTAAGAAAGTCTTCCCAAGAGAAGCAATCCCTACCAGGGTCTTGAAGGATGACTAGCAGTTGTTGACCAATTAGATAAGGCAGGAAATATTCTAGGCAGAGGAAGGAGTACATAAAAGCATGGAGAGATGTCCTAACATGGTATGTTTTTAGTCAGTAAATTTCATATTACATGTGCATAGAGAGTAGAGAGAAGAGGAACAGGAAAGGAAGAAAAGTAGAGCTAATAAAGTTAAAAGAAAAAAAGAGCCCAGATTATAAAAGATCTTATGTATCATGCTGAGGAGCTTAAATTCAATCATGAAAGTATTTAGAACTAGTGAACAGAAAGGAAGAATTAGATGATTAACTTGACATTTTAGAAAGATCCTTTGGGCAGAAGACGGCAGTGGGGAGTGCAAGTTGAAACTGTAAACCACTAGTCTAGCAAAAGTTAATCGCCTGGACTAAGGAGCAGTGATGGAAAAGGAGGAGGGAACAAATGAGCTATTGGGGAGGTAAAAGGGAAACAGCAGAAGACGCCCTGATTGCTGGCCTTCGATACTGATAATGAAACAAGGACTACAGCCGTAAGAGTCAGACCCAGAAAGGAGAGTGGGTGGAAGAGAGAAGAGGATGACTTTCAATCTTGATAGCTTTAGCTTCAGATCACCCACTGCAAGCTAGGATGAAAGCAGATTTGTGCAGCTCACAAAAGAAAGACCTCTGAGGCCGGAAAAGGGAATAGAAGTCAGGCTACATCTGAATCTCTTGTGAGATGAAGCCAAACATGCCAGTGTCTGAACTGAATAACAATGTGGTCTGGGCTGTCTGCCCCTGCTGTCTGGTTATCAGGGCATAACTAATGAAATTCCAGCATAACACTACAGTCAGTCACCATGTTTGCAGGCAACCTTGCTTTCTTTAGCTTGTTAGAGCAAGAGCATGAGTTATTTGCACTCTATTTTTATGAAAAATAAGGCAGAAAAATCACAGGTACCTTACATTTCCCATACTACAGAGGAGGGCAAATGTAGGTTTACAGTTGTTTGTATGGAAAATAATACAATAATTAATAAATAGCAATACCAGAATAAACTCTGTGTTTTGGGTACTCACAACTATAAACCTACTTTCCCCACCCTGTATTTATTATGCATAAATAAATTATACCAAAATCCTGTTCCTACAACTAGGAATTAGATGGTTTCTGAAAGAAACATATATTGAAAGCCTAGACAGTGATGGTGAACCTATGACACGCGTGTCAGAGGTGACACACGAACTCATTTTTTTGGTTGATTTTTCTTTGTTAAATGGCATTTAAATATATAAAACAAATATCAAAAATATAAGTCTTTGTTTTACTATGGTTGCAAATATCAAAAAATTTCTATATGTGACACGGCACCAGAGTTAAGTTAGGGTTTTTCAAAATGCTGACACGCCGAGCTCAAAAGGTTCGCCATCACTGGCCTAGGACTATGCTAGGGACTTTATATTACTACTCCTCACAACTACTATTATCTCTATTTTACAAGGAAATGAGGCTCAAAAAGCTTAAGTGGCTTCCCAAGGTCACGTAGCTAGTAAGTGGCCAAACTGAGATTCAACTCCAAATTTAACAAACCAAGTACAAATCCTAGCGAACCTAATGACTACAAGGTGCTTAAGCTCTGTTATAAAAAGTTGCAGATTGGTTAAAACGGTCATACCAGTATAGTAGCACAAGCCGCATGCAGCTATACAAAATTAAATTAATTAACTAAACATTAAAAATTTAGTTTCTCAATTGCACTAGCCACATTATGAGTACTCAAGAGCAACTCTTGCTAGTGGCTACTGTATTGGACAATGCAGATAGAGAACACTGTCATCATTGCAGAAACTTCTATTGGGACTTCAATATTTAAAACAGAATAATTTAGTGCAGCGAATTCATTACACGGCTGATAAAAGAGCTGAGGGACCAAACAGGAGGCTGTGCAGCAATCCGGAGACTAGCAGTAACAGGAAGCCGTTACTTCCTAAAACAGAGGATGAACGGCAGAGTCCAAAAACCCAACATCACCTGGTAAAAGCTGGGATAGCAGGGACTCTGGGTGGGAGCTAGACACGAGGATGAGAAGCAGCCCCTGCTGGATAAACACCCTGATGTCAAAAGAGGGGAAGAAATGCCACAACTTCTCCCTTCCTTCTGCCCTCCAGGCTCCTGCCAGCACCTCCCATAGCTGAACCCAGCCCAAACTCAGGGGACAAAGGAGCCTGAAAAAGGCAGCCTATAGGAGACAGGCCTCTGTTTAAAAGGGCAGAACAAGGATAGAAAGAAAGAAGTGTAAGGGCACACAGGTAAGGCGTGGCACAGGTACAAAAAGATCATTTAGATTAAAAAGGAAACCACAAATGGCCAACGTTTGAAAAATGTCCAACCTCAGCAATAATTAAATATAAATTAAAACAATTACTATGAAAATAACAATATTAAATAACAATAAAGGTGTAGTAAAAACATGTACACTCATACAATCCTAGGAGAGGAAATTAATTTTCAGAATATTTTCAAAGAAATTGGAATAACTTTGTAATTTGCATCAACAATTTTTAAATGTTTATGTTGTTAGACCTCCTGGGTGAATTTTCAAGGATAAATCCAAAGTCTAAAAAAAAAATAATAATAATTTCAGAAAGATATTCATTGCAGCTTTATAATATTGGGGGATAGGAAAGAACCGCAATGTCTCCCAGTAGGTCAACAGTTAAGTAAATTAAGATACTTTATCCATTTAGTAAAAGAATACAGTGTTTGCCACCACAATGATAGGTGCTAGAAATATAAAAAAGATGAAGAGGTAATAATACACTAATTTATATCAACTTAAATAATATTTATGACGGATTTCAATAAAAGAACATATTAATGATCTGCCTAGTGAATAAAGCTGAATCTAAAATTGATAACACACCAAACAAAATATGCCAAGAGGTTAGTAACAGAGGTTGCTTTAATGGAAAGTGTATGAGTTTGGGGTTTATTGTTTTCCTTCTTTATCCATGAATTTTATAGTTTTCCTTCAGAGCTATTAATGCAAATGCTTTAGAGCTGTAAGCCTGTCACAATTATGCCAGTTTACCTGTTGCAGTAATAAACCGCATTATTTGGATCCAGTTCTATTGCCTGTGTGTAACAATCCACTGCAGCAGAATAATTTTCTTCTTTCATGTGGTTATTGCCTAAAATAAAGTAATCAGTAGGTACAGTAAGACAATATACGGGAAAATGTAAAGTCTGAAAGATAAATTTTAATCACAGAAACTCCAATAATATGAAAGTGATCGACATGATTTTTCAGTAACATAGGAGATAAATTTTATATTGTACAATGGAGTTGATATGCCTTAGTCTTCAGTGTGTTTGAATGATTTCAACAATGTGGAGTCTTAATAAAGTTAATATTTGTACCGGTATATCTTATAAAATTTAGGCTTCAATAAGTGAGTAAATGCAACAATTATGATTACCTCATGGAAAAATTTAATATATTCCCACCTTCCTTATCTTCATCTCTTCCCTTCCTTTAGAGCCACCCCATCTTAATGCAGCACCCTCCTCAATTGTCACCTCAACCTAGACCTGGCCTTCTGCTCCTTCCCTGTCAAAACGTCCATCTGCTGAGCAGCCAAGCCCTCACCACGGCTGCGTGGGTAAGCTGTAAAGCTAATCATGCTAATATGTTACTGGCAGATAATACTTTTGTATGCTATCTCTTCCAGACACCGATTCTTTTGAAAAGGAGCTTATTAGACATTAATCTCTAAAAAGACAAAATTTCAGATCCATGGCTAGCCCACAGGGTACTGATTTTCAGGAAGAACGTCTGCAGATACACCAGGAATAATTTAGCTAGGTTAACAATGGGATTTCTTGTGGCTATCTTTTGTATTCCATTAAAGAGAAAAAAGATCTGATTCTTAAAAAATTAAAAATTTTAAAACACTAGGAGAAAGGATTTACATCCCAAAAGACTCTAATATTCCTCCAGCTGTCTCTAAACCAGAAGTTCTCCTATTAGGTTTGTTTTTAATAGATGATTAGCTAATTAATGGGAGAAGGAGGAGTGGATTTTTGTTTTTTGTTCTTTGCAGGAACAGAAACAGGAAGATTAAATCAAATGCAGGTAGACAAAAGCACTTAAAATCATAAAAAGTTACTGCAAATTAAGTCAGAAGTGAATACAGAGTGGCTGTTAATGGGTGCACAGTTTCTTTGGAGGGCAATAAAAATGTTCTGTAATTATGGTGAATGCTACACAACTCTGTGAATCTGCTAGAAACCAATGAATTTATATACTTTAAAGGAGTAAATTGCAATGGTATGTGAATTATAGCTCAATAAGGCTTTTTTTTAAAGTTAAGAAAATTAATTTTCTCCCCACACCCAAAAAGAAATGAATATAATGCTTTTAAAACAGCTAAGAAGAATACATAGCTTTTATGATTAAGTAAGACGTTAACTACATTAGCTGAGGTACTTAAAGAAATTTGCTTCTTCCATGTAAAAGATTTACGTTTTCTGAGTTACTTGGATGTCCTTGTTTCCATTGGAACTTTTTGTCTTGGGATGGTGTTTTATTATCATTACATTATTATTATTATTAAAACCTATTGTATGTCTTTTCTTCTAAACCACCTCAAATGTATAGATACAATAATATACATATACTACATGTATAAATACATTTATACATATTGATGAAAAAGCTTCAAGTTACAAAATATGTAATATGCAAAACCTAAGACATAAATGATGAATTTTGTGAAGATAAATATAACTAAGCATTGCACAGCACTTTATAGTTACATGGCACTCTCCTATAAAATTGTCTCCTTTAATTATCAAAACAACCCTATCAAATATGCCAATATTTCTGTGACGTGTCAGGGAATAACAACAAAGAACTCTTCTTAATTTCATCTGCTCTTTCTGTCGCTCTTCAGAAGCAAAGCACACAAAAATATTTGAAAGCAATTTTCAGGAAGGTACTAGTTGGTTAGAAGAAAAATTTCAAAGAACTCAAAATCACTAAATATACAAAAGTTAAAATAATACTGACAATTATCTTCATCTCTGATTAAGCATAAAGAAGAAGTTGGGATCCTAGAGTACACACAAAGACAGTTACAAGTGATGACCCTTAAGTTATTTGTTTTGCATGTTTTATACACAACAGATCTGGTTCTCTTGAAATAAGCCACAAACCGTTCTATACTTTTAGATTTCTTCTCTATCACTTTCATTTCTCTTTCACAGTATAAACCAGAATCTTATTCATTGTTTCAGAAAGTTTTACCAAGTAAATAATTTTGCTATGAAATATTTACCTTCATCTTTTAATTGGTCAGCTTTTCCCACATCTCCAGGTACTGAGTTTGAGAGAGGCCGAATGTCATTCTGAAATAAATAAAAATTTAATATACTTCCACTTAGCTACATTAGGAGTCATCCAATAGAACAATAAGTAATGTAATAATGGACTGATTTACCCATTTCACAGTAAATCATCTGTAATTCCACATCATGAAATCTAACACCTAAATGATAGTGTTAGCAAGAACAGGGGAAAGCCTTTACTTTTATTAGGAGAAAGAATATGTGGAATTTTTCTAGAAGATAATGGGCAACTGTGAATCGAAATTTTGTTTTTTACTTGCTTTCCCTATACCCAGAAATCCTACTTCATGGACATAAAATGGAATCAGTATATGAAAAATAGGAATAGAAATATGTTCAAGGGATTGCTTATATTAGTGAAAATTTTGAAATATAATATTTAATATCCTAAGAGATATCTTAGTAAGCCAAATTCACAGTTTACCAACAAAAGTATTTATTATAAGATCCTATTATTTAAATATGTGCACACACATACACACAGTCTAAAAAACAAAGACTGGAAGGGTACACACAAAAGATTAACAGTTGTAATATTTGGAGATAAAAGTTTCAGTCTCTTCTTTATGTCTTTCCATATTGTCCAACTTTTTTTAAAACAATGAGTATATATTAATTTTACCATAAGACAAAAACAGTATAAAATCCCTGTTTTTAGCACCTACTATCATCCTCAAACTCTCTTTGCATTAAAAAGATTTAAAGCAAAGGCACTTATGAACTAAATGAAAATTTACAACTATCTTGAGTGACATTGGAAACACACACATTTTCCATTTTTAAATGATCTTCAGCTTTTCTCCCCAGTTCCCCATTCTGTACTGAAGACTGAGCACAGAGCTAGAAAAACAAAAGTTCACGAGGCACCAAAATGTAATGAAAAAATGGGACGTTACTGTGGGCCTCAAACTCACTAAACTTAAACTTTTTCAGACAATCTTATGGCCCATGTTTCCTGAAGAGGCCAGGAACCAGAGACACTTGTGAGAAGGAGGAATCGGAAAAATTGGGTTTCAATCTTAGTTTTGCACATTGACCCTGAACCTTTCCCTGTTTTATTTTATTTATTATTTTACCTTTCCCTGTTTTAAAGAGCCCATCAATGGCCAAACTTGATTACATCTGCTTCAAAATGATGATTCAATTTCTGATGAATCTATTTCTATGCGGGTACTTCCTAAACATTAAACCTTTTGTTTTCAACTTATAATCCATGTTTTAGGAGAATGTCAATTCAGATGTCAGAAATCTAAAAATGCTCTGATACTGTAAAGGACTTAAAAAGTCAACTAAGATGTATTAAATATAAAAGAAGGCGAGAGGATGAGAATAACTACTAATAAGAAAATCTAAAGCACATTAAAAGAATTATGCTTTAGGTCACAAGTCATATCCATGTGGACTGTCTTATACCCAGAAAGAAGTTAGTTACTTATAGGCCTGACCCCTCATATGTGAACAAATCCAACATAATACTATATCGAACTTAACTCAGATACTAATGAGAAGACAATGACAGCTTACCTTACAGAAGGAATTTGTGAACATTTCTGTCAGAGGCTGTGAAACTGCTAGATGTGTATCTTCTGGGCTGATTTTAAAAACTGTCTCCAAGCACTGAATTGCAACTTGAGACAAATTTTAACAGTGAAAAAAAAAAGTTAGCAAACTAAAAAAGAAACAATCTTTTTTTTTTTTTTGTAGAAATCTGCGCTCTATTGCCATCTGTGGTAATTCAGCCTTTATGATCACAGAACATAAGGTTGAGCTGAATAGAGATTTTTGTTTATAGACCAGCAATTGAGGGAAGACAACTTGATTTCTTATTCCTCACTTAAGAAAAACGTTACTTAGAATATAATTCTCAATATATCTATTACATCATATGTTGTTGAAGCAAGTCATTATCTGCTTTTGGTGTATAACCCGGGTATGGACTGGGTGGAGAGACATGGTGGGCACTTATACTAGAAAGGAAGTCTGTTGTTGTATGACAAGACACCTTAAACAACATTTGTAAAGGATGTGGACTTAATGCTGTGGGCAAATGGAGAGCTATTAGAGAATTTAGTTAGGAGAATAACATAACTGGATTTGTGTTCAGAACTGAAGTCTGGTAGGAAGGTTGAGAATGGATTAGAGAGGGAAGGGAGCTAAGAGAAAAAATGAAAGCAGAAAACCAGTGGGTTCCCACTTAAATGGTCTAAACAATTCAGGGGTCTGAACTAGGGCAGTAACAGTGAAGAAAGCATATCCTGTCCTCTCTACAAGTACCCATTGAGGGGAATGGAGGCAGATTCTTATCCTTCTAGTGCTCTTGTTTAAAAAGGAATGCTCTCCTGGCTTAACAAGATAAGAATGTGGCCAAAATGTCAAGTGTACTTCCAGACAGTGTGGAATAGATTCACTCAGATTTGTGCATGACTTTTAAATGATACATTATGTATTAACTGTGTTCCTGAGAAAATTATCTATCAAGAAAAAAGCATTATTACTTTTACTACCCACAGAAACAATCTCCTTAGAAAAGGGACTGAATAAGGAAGTTATAAGTTACCAACTACAAAATGTCAAAGTGTCTTTTAGATAGAAAATACTAGTAATCTACTGTTTACCTATCCCTCAATCCCCCCCCCCATTTTTACTTCTGCCAAGTAGTTGTTCTTTTTTCGTTTGTTTTAAAGAGAGGAAAGGAGAGAGAGAAAGACAGAGAGACAGAGACATCGATTTGTTATTTATACATTCATGGGGTGATTCTTGTATGTGCCCTGAATGGGGATGGAACCCACAACCTTGGCATATTGGGACCATGTTCTAACCAACTGAGCTATTTGGCCAGGACCCAAGCAGTTGTTCTTACACTTCAGTTGTACTTGCACTAAAAACATTGGGCCATGCTCTGGCCTGTTTGGCTCAGTGATTAGAGCATCAGCCCTCTGACCAAAGGGTCTTGGGTTAGATTCCCAGTCAAGGCACATGTGAGAGGGAACCAATCGATGTGTCTCTCTCACATTGATGTCTCTCTCACATTGATGTCTCTCTCTCTCTCTTTCTGTCTCTTGTGATCATGAATTTGAAGTGGGACCAGTCAGCAAGGTTGTATTTTGCTCCATCTATATACATTCACATGGATATGGGAAAGAGTAGATGAAGAACTGGATTTAAACAAGGTTGGGTTTTGCAAGAAAGGGAGGGATATACAAGAGTGTGATTATAATGATCAACTATGGAATTTAAATTGGGTAAGAAGAGGGATGTGAAAAGGTAAGGGGTCAAGAGATTGGAGGCCTTGGAAAGGTAGAAGAATTGTTTGGGGAGGGATTCAAGAGGGAATGAGCTGGCAAGACAAGCAATCGTGGTCAAATGAAATTATTAAGATAGAGATTATGGAGGGAATGCCAAGGTGGTGAAGTTCAGGGAAGAGTTCCTCAGCCTTGGCACTACTGACATTTTGAACTAGATAATTCTTTGTTGGGAGGCTATCCTGTGCATTGTAGCTGCATCCAGGGCCTCTATCCACTCAGTGCCAGTAATACCAGCTCCTCAGTTGTGACAGTAAAAAATATCTCCAGACATTGTAAAATCACCCTGAGTTGAGAACTACTGGTTGAGGGTCTGACCAAGGGAGTGAGTGGTTGAAATCAAATCACTGGAGGAAAGAAGGTCAAGAAACTGAGAGCCAAGGGAACTGCAAGAATCAGCTGTGAGTATATTGCAAATGCCAAGAATGAAGACAGGAGTAGTGCTAGAGAGAGTGACAGTGAGCAGGAGCCACAACGCTCAAAACATGAAGTAGTTGTCAGGAGATGGCAACCATTAGGAGTGGGAAACAAACTAAGGAAAGGCTCAAAGCCAAGAATATACCAGCTCATTGTGTGGTAAAGCTGGTACCAGAACTTAAGCTTCTTTTCTAAGGCTTTTTTAAATGTCTAGAAGGTGGGCAGACATCTCCACATGATCTCATAGTCAATAAAATTAGACTCACAGAATCAAAAATAGGGGTTGGTCAAAAACAATTGGCACCATTTCCGGGTGCCATGTATAAGAAACAGCTGAAGGCACATAATTTTGGCTGAACACCATTCTAAAAATAGGATACAACATCTTGTTTTTTTGTGTGTTTTTTTAAACTGAATTTTCCTTCTGGCCCTTAAAAGTATGATGCTGCCTTTGATTAGAGAAGAAACATCTTTTAGTAAATGACTGCATTTACCTGTTTGCTACAGAGCAGCCATAACCAACACCCTCCTTAGGTAACCAGTCACCTTCCCTTCACATACTCTAACCAACCTTAATATTAAATGGACTGATTGCAACGTTCTCCAACTGTGTCACCTGCTTCCTTCACTGCCGCCTGGAAAAACATCATCCCACCGACTGCAAGCAGTTTTAGAGCAAAGGCCCAATTTTCATCCCCACCTCCTAAACGCATATTCACAAGGGAAGTGCTTGTTAAAATTAATAGATGTGTCCCCTTTATAGGAGAAACAGCTTCAAGACGGGAAATTCAAATTGTACTGTTATTTATGTTCTCCCAAATGCACTGTCTCATTGCAATAATTAAGTCTCTAGGCCATAAGGAAGCTGGGCTCATTGACCCTCCACAAGCCCATGTGCAGAATTCTGCCTTGTTATGGTTATACTAAATGTACCTTTATAATGGAGAAACATGAAGCAGAGAAGATGCTGTCAAGGAAGCATGTGATGCTATCATGCAAGTCCTGCTCAATTGAACAGATTACCGAATCTACTATTTAAAGCTCACAGAGAACAAGGGTGCAGTCCTCTCATCCCAAGTCCCCAAATGGGAAGTTGTCAGAGAATAATATGATATAATTATTAGACTTTTACATGGTGCTTTCATAATGACTAAGGTATTTTCATTGATTCTTAACTCAATGCTTTCCTATTAAGAAGAAGATACAACAAGATCTTCGGAGGAGGAACCAGGATTTAAATCTCAGCTCTGCTACATGTTAGCTGTGTTCTGTTACTTAACCTGGTTTCATTTATTTATCTGTTAATTGGGGATAATACTAATTTAGCAGGCACTGTGAAGAAAAATTCCCTACAATAGGAATAGCATAGTTCTGACATATAATAGCTGTTCAGTAAATAAACAATAGTCTTCTTATCTTGTTAATGAAAACAAACAACACAAGCCTCAGAGAATGGAAACTCATGATTACCTGAGGTTAGGTCTCTCTTCTGGAAAGGTAACAAACTATTTTGATTTTGTTATAATAGGTCATAAAGCCAGGCTTACAGCTATTTTAGTTTTTATTTATAATTATAATACAAATGAACATAAAAACAGCTGCCTACCTTCCAAACTTTCTTGTTCATCTGAAGTATAAGCATCCATCTGACTTTGTTCCCGTAAGAAACGAATAACTGCATAAACTAGGTGCTTGATAGATGACATTTTTTAAGTTTCAGTACTTTTCCTTGTTAAGAAAAAGGAAAACACTGAACTAAGATATTTTAAAGAATCAGCCAGAAAGGTTATAAACGACAAAGGTTATAAATGACACTGAAAGTAAAAAGCAAAAACTAAAATCTGTATTACCTTCACTCCTTTCTGTTTTTAAAGTCGGGTGAGCATAAAGTGTTCTTATGGTCATGCATTATATATTTTCACTTATATCTTGCAAAAGCATAAACCTCGCAAAAGTAAAGTTTTTCTCAAAACGTGTATAACATTAAGCTTTGACTCTCACTGAATATCTCACTCTATCTTACCAGTATGCATGGTACAGATAGAGATAAGGATTGGGGTAGAGCTACAGGGATAGAAATCCCCCCAAAGGCCTCAGGGCTAAGTGGAGGGAGATTTCATACTGCTGACTCAGAAGCTGATCCACGCTAAGCATCTTCCTCTATTCCATGAGATTTTAAAAATGTATACATAATTTACACCCCGCCTACTTTTGTAGGCTGGGACAGGTATTTGAGGAAGTATAATAACGAGAGGTTTTCAATCACTGAGTGCCATTCTTAATAAAAAAATGGCATTCGTATTTAATCACCAGACATGTCAGGAAATCATTGCCCAAGTCGATGGATACTATACACCGACCAGTGCTCTCTGCAGTAGTTGTGCTCTCGTGGACAAGCTGGAAGCTCTGGGTCATGTTCATTCACATGGAATACTATCGCATCCAAACAGTGGCGCAGGGCCAGCCGGCATTAATGGCTTATTTCCACTAAATCGCATCGTCCATCTGCTCCCCGGTCCCTAATTCAAAGCCAGGGTGTGGTACCCACCGCTAGGATGTTTATTATTTCTGTGCTTGTTTTAAAAGCGAGCCCCGCCTCTAGGCCGTGGGGTTGCAAGTATAAAAAAGGCCCCAGGGCAGAAGATGAGAAAAGAATGGGGGGGAAAGGGGTGCAGAGGGGAATGGAAATGTCCAACCTCTTCCAGGCTTCTCCTCATTCTCCCCAGAGCACGGGCACCTCCTCCTTCCTCCCTTCGGTACCCGGGCCCGCCTCCGCCCTGACCGATGTTGCAGGGTGCGCGGTGCAGGCCCCGTCCGGGCGGCGGGAGATGCACCCTTCCCAGACAGAAGCCCCTTACCCGATGGAGGATGCGAGACCGTGGCAGCGGGCCCGCGGTGTCCGTCGGCGGGTCCGTCCGCCCCTCGTCCTCGGGGCTTGAGCCTGGCTCCCGATCGCAGCTCTGCCAGCCGCAGCCCCAACTTCCCCGCCGCCCAGGCCCCCGCCGCCCACCGGGATGTGCGCCCACCAGGCTGTGCGCGGTGCTCCGAGCTGCTGGGTCTCACCAGGACCGCTCCTGGGGCGACGCAGGAACGCACAGGGCGGGGCGAGGCGGGCCGGAGTTGGCGCCGACGTGGGGCTGCCGCACGTGGGAGGCCGGGCCGGACCTGCCGCTGCCTCATCCGCCGCCGTTTTCTCTTCCGTTAGGCCGCCTCCCGGCTCCCCGGCGCCCCGCCTCGCCCACCCCCAAACCGGAGGACGACGCGCCCGCCGCAGCCGCCTCTCGGCGCTCCCATGATCGTCAAGTGCCTTTCGGCTGTGCGAGGCCTCCACAGGTACCTCCGGTGCGCGCGGTAACCTTGACCGTGGGCAGGGCGGGGTCTTGTGCCCTGGCCGCGGGGGCGCCCGACCCAGCGTTTGCCGACCGCACCCCTACGACGCTCCTCGGACCCCCCTCCCCCCCCCCGCAACCCGCTCGGTCTACCCGGGGGACACCTGCCGCCAGGAGGTGAGGGCCACCTTACCTGCTCCGCCCCTCGGGAGGCCATCCATTCCCCTTTGTTTGGAACTGCCTCCGCTGCAGTCCGCAAGGCTGGCCCAGCCTCGGCCCCAAAATGAGTGCAGTAAGATGGTCGGGATGAGAAAATCATTTGACTTTCGCCCCCACCCAGAAGTGCAGACCCGTCTTTAAAAGTGCCGCAGCTGTAGACTCAGGAAAAGCAATTTCCATTTGCCCCCCACACACACTTAGCATGCAAATCATGTAACGTCCACACACGATGAAACCTCTGTGGTTTTGCTGATTTCCGTCCATGCTAATATCCTTTTTATTTACCTCTTCCCCCATAAAACATTCGGCCTCTTGCCGGGGCAAATTGACTTGTCTCCAAATGGAGGGAATTATTGCTTGGACACGGTTTGGGGCAGCCTCAGCTGCTGTTTTGGATTGCTTCCTAGCTCCCTAACCCCACCCCTCTGCAACAGATCAGTAGCAAAAGGGGAAGAGAATGAAATTCTTTGCACCGATGCGCTGGATGGAGTGGTTTTCAGAAACAATGTCCTGCCTCCTCCATTCCCACATCTACCCTTGAACTGTAAGTCTGAATGAAGGTCCAACAGAAAAAAGGAAATTTGTGTTTCTTACTTGATACTTCTAAAACGCCTTGGAACAGACCAGTATTTAAGGTTTTTAACCGTTTTCTATTGTACATTGCCACTCATCTGTGTGTTGTTTAGTCCTTAGGGTTAGGATGCATCTGGGGACAATAATAATTTAAAAGATGATTTTGACCATATTTCAAGCTGTCCTTTAGTCTGCAGGCTGCAAGTGGTATAGCTGGCAAATAAAGCTATACTAACAGATGAAGATCTTCACATAATGCAGTGAGAGAAGAGAGAATAAATTTCATGTAAGACGGTGGTTTTCAAATTTTTTAGTCTCAAAGCTCTTTTACCTCTCAAAAATTACTCAGGACCTAAGAGCTTTTTATGTGAGTTGTATATTTACATTTTTACTACCAGTATATTAGAAATGAAAACTGGGAGATTTTTCAAGTATTTATTAGTTTATTTAAAAAAACTAATAAACTGATACATGGATAAATAACATTATTAATAAAAGTAACTATTTTCCAAAACTTGTCTAAAAAAAACAGAAGAGTGGCATTGTGGGGTTATTATTTCTTGTGGGGTTTTTCCCAGCTTTTTAAAATTGTTGAAAATAGGCATAACATAAAATTTACCATTTTAGCCCTGGCCAGTGTGGTTCAGTGGTTGGAGCACCAGCCTGGGGCACATACCTGGGTTGCAGATTCGATCCCTGTGCAGGAGGCATCCAAATGATGTGTGTCTCTCACGTAGATGTTTCTTTCTCTCTCTCTTTCTCTCTCCCCTCCCTCCCTCCCTTCCACTCACTCTAAAAATCAATGGAAAAAATATCTTTGGGTGAGGATTAACAACAAATTTTTTTTTTTTTACCATTTTAATCATTTTTTTAATGCACAATTTAGTGGCATTAAGTACATTCACATTTTTTTGTAACCATTACCATCATGTTTTTCCTAAGCTTTTTCAGCATCCCAAACTGAAACTATATCCATCTATACTAATAAAAGGGTAATATGCTAGTTAGACCGGATCGACTGGACATCTTCCAGACGTCCAACTTCCTTCCAGACAAAGCCAGGGTGGCGGGGGCCAAGGCAGAGGCAGTTAGGGGCAATCAGGCCGTTACAGGGGAGCAAGCAGTTAGGGGTGCAATCAGGCCGGTGCGGGGGAGCAAGCAGTTAGGGGTGTGATCATTCCGGGGCGGGGGAGCAAGCAGTTGGGCGATCAGGCCGGCAGGGGAGGGCAGTTGGGGATGACCAGAGCGGCAGGGGAAAGCAGTTGGGGGCAACCAGGCCAGCAGGGGAGGGCAGTTGGGAGCAATCAGGCCAGCAGGGGAGCAGTTAGGCGGCGATCAGGCAGGCAGGTAGACAGAGGTTTTAGGGGCGATCAGGCAGGCGAGCGGTTAGGAGCCAGGGGCGATCAGGCAGGCGAGCAGTTAGGAGCCAGCAGTCTCTGATTGTGAGAGGGATGTCCCAGATTAGAAATTGTGCAGGCTGGGCTGAGGGACACCACCCATGCATGAATTTTGTGCACCAGGCCTCTAGTTAAACAATAACTTCTCATTATCCCCTCTCCCATTTCCTAGTAACCACTATGTTTTTTGTGTATGAATTTGACTATTTTAGGTAACTCTTATAATATTTGTTTACTTGTGACTGACTTAATTCACTTAGCATAATATTTTTAAGGTTCATCCATATTTTAACATGCATCAGAATTTCCTTTTTAACACTGAATGATAGTCCACTTTATAGACAGTCCACATCTTGTTTGTCCATTCATCTGTCCATGGACATTTGGGTTGTTACCCCCTTTTGGCCATTTTGAATAATGCTGCTATGATCATTGGTGTGTGCATATCTGTTTGAGTCTGTTTTCAATCCCTTGGGATCTATACCTAGAAGTAGAATTACTGGATCATATGATAATTCTATGTTTAATATTTTGAGGAGCCACAATACTGTTTTCCATCACATCTGTATCATTTTATATTCCAATTGACAATGCACAAGGATTCCGATTTCTCCATATCTTCACCAACATTTGTGGGTGTGTGTGTGTGTGTGTGTGTGTGTGTGTGTGTGTGTGTGTGTTTTGTTGGTTTGTTTTTTATAAGAAACATCCTAGGAGTGGTGTTCTTTTGCACTTTGGCAAAACAAATGTGTGACTTAATAGAGAATAGCTGGATTCTTACATCTGCTTCTGCATTTAATCTGTTGCACTGCTTGTTTTGGCTTAAGAAGATGAAGAAAATCCCATCTTTCACTCACGTATTTGGGAAAAAAGAATATTTTAACAGCTATTTTATTTTATTTTATTTTTTTAAATATATTTTTTATTGCCAGAACTGATTTGGCTCAGTGGATAGAGCGTCGGCCTGCGGACTCAAGGGTCCCAGGTTCGATTCCAGTCGGGGGCATGTACCTTGGTTGCGGGCACATCCCCAGTGGGGGGCGTGCAGGAGGCAGCTGATCGATGTTTCTCTCTCATCGATGTTTCTAACTCTCT